TGAGCGCTGCCCCCTCAGAAGGACAAAATGAGCCCAAAACCATCGTAAAATTAATGATTTTGCTAGGAAGGACGATGAGCGCGGCCCCCTCGGGAGGCCAAAATGGGGCCAGAACCATTGTAAAAACAAGGATTTTGGCTTCACAGAAGAGGAGGGGGCTACAAGAGCGCCCCCCCGTCGGGGCCAGAATCCTCGTGAGGGTCGTCGTTTTTTGGACCTCCCAGGCGTCGAAAAAGACCCCCCTGACCACCCGCGGGACTCCCTCTCCAGGCCCAGGGGGAGGGGGTAGGGGGAGGGGTAAACCCTTCCCCGAAGGGGAAGAAGGGGGGTTGAGGACAGAGAGGGCTCTCTAAACCACTCACGCCCAAAGGGCTGGTGGGATTCGTGTTCATGGTATCGCTCTCCATATATATATATATAAACACGTATGATATATATATGCTCACACCCTTGTGATCCATCTCGCCGCTTCGTTTAATGCCCCACTGACTATGCGACCGTCGGTATTTTAGTTTTCACAAATGCTTTTCACGCGCGAAATCCAACGTGCGTTTCCAGCGCATTGGCGCACCTATGCGGTTAAATCTCAGTAGAGAGTCCGCAGCATCTCACCCGTGTGCACCCACAGGTCCGGGCCTTTCGGCCTTTCTCCCAGTACATCCACTGAGCAGAACGAAAACGTCTCCACATGGATATGTTGTTGACCTTGTGCTTGCGCCTGCCCAGGTGCGTTCTCAAGTGGGACCAGAAGCGATCGATGATCTGCGTGCCTGTTTTGACGAAGAGGTTCTGCCCGTCAGGAAGGATGTGCTCATTTATCTCCGAGTGTTTTGATTTCGCCCATTTTGTCTTTCCTTTAATGACGGTCTTTTTCTTGCAATGCACGTCGTTGTCGTGGATGCCCCCGGGAATGCGCATTTTGTATGTGCGGGCTCCATCGGTGTGCAACGCCGCGCTGGTGTTCTCCAAATGCTTCCTGGCGTTTGGCTTCCAATCCCGCTTGCGAGTTGGCCCTGGCCCTGGAGCCCGGCGAGTTGTGCGGCGCGGGTCAAGTCCTTAGCTGCTCGTATACGAGCCTCTCATTGCAAATCGATCGGCGCGCGGAACTTCGATATCGGCTTGTGTCTGATACGGTCCAACCGACCAGATCGGTGCTCGGCAAGATCGGGCGTCGGCTGCCTCATGACATCGCATTGCAGATCGATCGGGCCGGGGCCATCGCTGTCATCGCAGAATCGATTGCAATCGCTCGATCGGATCGGCTCACCGCGAGATCGCGCGTCGACAGCAAGACGAGCGCCGTCGACTAAAGGGCCTTGCGCGCGAGGGTCCGAGTCAGAGATGCACCTGGGGGGCGCGCTAGTGAGCATCAGCGCGCGCGGCCGACCGCGCTCGACGATGCCGCCCGCTGCTCCCATTGAACGGGCTTCTGTTTAGTCTTCCCCCAATAGTCCTCTTTGCCCAGGTCGACTTCGTCGACTGCGCCGAAGCGAATCGTCCTCGTCCTCTCCTTTTTGAGCGCGTACTTCGTTCTCGCCTTATCCGGGCGCAAGTACGTATTCTCAATGAGTTTGCTGATTTGCCCTGTTACCTGGTGGCAGCTAGCCTGTGAGAGGCCCCGCGCTGCGCGCGTGCACGCGGCAGCTTTATCCCGCAGCGGAGCGAGCGCATTTCCCCAGCCAGCCTTATGCTGGGTGGTCGTGCTGCGGCGTTTCAAACTTGTGGCGCGCCTTCCTGTTGCAGCGGTGAACGCTACCTCTCCCAGCCAGCCTTAAATGCTGGGTGGTCGTGCTGCGGCGTTCCAAATTTGCGGCGCCCGTCTGTCGCAGCGGCGAACGCTACCTCTGCCAGACACGCGTCGCAGAGGCCCGAGGCGCCCTGCCGCGCACCGCGGGCGCAGCTCGCCAGCCCAATCGCGAAGACGGCCACTCCGAGTCAGAATTAAAACGAGCTTGGCAGCGGATGCAGCGTAAATTTCTGTCAAGGCATAGCTGATGTGTATTTTCACTGGCCTTGATGTGACAGCCCCCTGCCCATGGCGAACATGCGGCGCGAACGGAGTCTTGGGCGGTCCGGGCGGCTTCTTGGCAACCTTCATTGCCATTCGGGCTTTCCCGCGCATGGGCGTGCGCGACGGAAAGGCAGCGGACCTCTTCGCGCGCGGCCGAATGGGCTGAAGGCTGTCGTCGTCGTCGCTCTCGCAGTCGCCGTTGCTCTCTCAGTCGACGCAATGCAGCCCGAAGGCCTGGGCGAGAGATGAGCGTGAAGATCCGTCGGCGAAGCCGTCTCCATTCTGGTCGTCTACGTAGCTGTCCTCGGCGCAAAGGTAAGTGGGCTGCCCCCCCATGTCGCCCTCGGCCGCGCGATCGAGGATGCCGTCGAGGTGCGCGTGGACGCAGTGCGCGCGCGTGTCTGACTCGTTGAAGCAGACGACACCTCTGCTGACGGCATGAAAACAAATGGCTCATGCAGCAACGAATCATCGCGTCAGGAACTTCGTTTCAAAACCCGCATTGGGAACCTAAAGAGGACCGCGCATGCACATCGCCGGCTTGCTTGCAGTAAGGTGCGCGATGCGGATGCAAGGGCTCTGGAAGGGCTATGTTTGCTCTCCTTTTGAGGGTAGACGCGGCCCGAAAAGTATGGATGTGCGATGCCGATGCAGGGGCGCTCTTGAAATTGCGCGCCCTTAGTATGGATATTGACTGCGCCCGCCATGCCTGAATCGGGGGTCCCGCCGCGAATGGCGCGCGCCAGCGAGCCGCCCAGCGAATCGCCATCGAACTGGCCGTCTGTCGCCGCGGTGGCACCCATGCGAAGCTGCGAGCGTAGCCTGGGGGCCAGCAGTCGCGTCAGCCGCGCCTCGCATCCAAACGCGGCCTCCAGATCTGTGGCCCGCGCAGTGAACGGCGCCGCGGCGACCCCGCCCATCGCCTCCCTGCGCTCGAAGTAGCGCTGGGCTCGCAGAAAGACCGCCGCCTGCTTTTCTCTGAACATATCGACGTTACTGGGCATCGTGACGCGGCCCATCTGCGCGACCGCTGTAAATGCGGCAGGCAAGGGGCGCGGGTCGTCGGACGGGTAGACGTGTGAAAAGTCATGGATGCCTGCGTCCTCCAGAACCGCCCGCCCAATCATGACCTCTCGGTGAATGGCTGCCGGTCGGGCGGCGCTGAGCCCATTGCGCGCCCGCAGGTGGGGGCGGGCCCGAGCGCAGCCAGCGAGCGAGAACTCTTCAGTTGGGCGGCCCCAACTGAATGCCGCGCTTCCCCCGGCAAGGCCGGGGCCGCGCAAGTGTGCGCCGCCGACGAAGGTTGCGGACGTTGTGTCGTCAGCCATCTCAGGCACCTCGCCGTTCGGCCGTGACGCCCCTCGAACGCCGCTGCCCCCCTGGTGAACTGGGCTCTCGCGAGAGAAAGTCCTTGTCGCACTCGCGCGCGCAAGCAATGCTGCTCTGATAGGAAAGATGCCGACTGCGGCCCCAGCCTGAGCGCCAGCAGTCGCAGCAGCCGCGCCTCGCATCCAAACGCGGCCGCCAGATCTGTGGCCCGCGCAGTGAATTGCGCGGCGGCGGCCTTGCCCACCACTTCCCTGCGTTCGAAGTAGCGCTGGGCTCGCAGAAGGACCAAAAGGGATGGGGCTTCCCTTTGACGTGGTTGCGACATGGGTCGATTTCTCTCAAGCCCGCTAGAGCCTTGCAACGACGACGACGACGACCAACGGCACAGCTCGCACACGCCGAAAGGGTCGGCGGATATATATATATATATATATATATACACACATACATACATACATACATACATACATACATACATACATACATATGTATAGAGCCCTCCGCACGCACCAAAACCTCCGTTTCTCCAGATTATTTATGAATTTATTGATAATTCGTTCGAGTGTCGGACTTGATGTTGGGGCTCATGTTTGGAACAATTGTTGGGCTCAAGTTCGGAGCGATGCTCACCCGCTGCAAATGCAGCCGTTTACACCATCCAGTAATCAATACCCTCCATCCCCAACACAGCACCCGATACTCAACAGGCTCCCTCCCCAAGCAGAACTTGAAAATAACATTCTACTCAACTCCCTCCGTTTCCAAAACACCATTCAGTAATCAACACCCTCCGTTTCCAACACAGCACCCGATACTCAACAGGTTTTCTCCCCAAACTGAACTTGAAAATAACCTTTCAGTTAACTCCCTCCGTCTCCGACACACCATCCAGTAATCAACACCCTTCGTCTCCAACACTTCTCGCGATACTCAACAGTTTTCTTCTCCATCGCGCAACCAACCAGTATGTGGCACTTTTTCCTTTACGCTTGCCGCGCACGCCTTCTGCCCCCCTTTTCATCTGGCGTCTTCCAAGAGAAAAGGCGGGCTCATGGTGCGTGCGGAGACCTACGTATCTGTATCTCTATATGTGTATATACACATCTATGCAAGTTTGTCTGTTGGTGGGTGTTGGCTTGTGTCGTCGTTTGCATGTGCCCGGGTTCGTAGCGTATGCTGTTTCAGTTTGCTCTGCCTGTGTGTCTTTCGCATGCCGTTTCTGTCTGTCTTTGGTGCTTGTCGTCCACCCGTGCGCGTCGCCACGGTCCTCGTGTTCCCGTCTCCTCGGGTGTCACGTGTTCTGTTGTTCTGTCACGTGGGCCTCCAGGCTCTGGACCCGCTCCCCTGGCCCAGTTTTCGTCCCTAGCAGCGCCTGCCCGCTGGCCGAGCACGAGGACGAGTTGGCCGTCTCGTTCTTCCTTTCCGACGCCGGGACCTCAGGGGTCAAGAGATGGGGGTCAATGCGAATGGGGTCAGTCAGAGGGCCGGATCTTGCAGGATCCTGCACGTCCGGGGGTGCATTGCCCCGGGTTCGGGCGCAGGGTCCTGCAGGATTCTCTCAGGATCCTGCAAGGCCTGACTGGCTTGGATCCGGAGTGACACCCCGTTCAGTAGATCCCCGACCCCGGATCCGTTTGGGCTCGAGCGGGTTGCGGGACGGATGGCGAAGAAGCGTCGTCCTTGGTCAGCCGACGCCGCGGAGCCCGAGGGCGGGGCGGGCGAGGAGGCCGCGCCCGAGGCGGACGCCGCGCCGGGGGGCGCCCCCGCCGGGGAGGGCCCGCGGGGGAGGGGGAGGAGGAGGAGGAGGAGGTGCGCGGGCCAGCAGCTCGAGGAGGCGGCCGCGGAGGAGGCGGGCGCCGCCGCCGAGGAGCGGGCCGCGGCGGAGGCCGTGGAGCCGGAGGCCGCGGGGGGGGGCGCGCGGAGTAGGAGGAGGGGGCGCAGGAGGGCTGCCGCCGCCGAGGGCCCAGACGGCCCCGAGGCCGCCGAGGCCGCCGAGGCCTCACAGGGCGGCGGCGGCGAGGGGCCCGCGGGCGCGGCCAGCGACGATGCTGCGGAGGTCGCCGCGCACGCGGACGGTGTGCAGGAGGACGCCGGGGTGAAGGCCCGCAGGAATCCGAGGCAGCGGTATGGGGGATGGGCTCAGAGGGGAGCTCATCGCCCATTCATCGCCGATGGGGGCCTGCGGACAGCCCACCCCGCCCTGGGTCGTCCTGTTCCGCAGTCTGGGGCCCATTCCCGACCCGTTGGCGGTGTACCGCGTATCGCGGATCCGGGGTCGATGTGTACTATCTGCGCCAGTTCCCCCCTGCCGTTGCCCCTCGAAGAAGAAGAGGAGGCCCCGGGGGGCGGACGGTTGCGCGGGCGCGGGCGGCGCGGAGGGCGCCGCGGGGAGCGGCCAGCTGTGCTGGGCACACCCGGATGACGAGGCCGTCGCGCAGGAGGGTTTGGCCACCGACGGCGCCGCCGCCAGCAGTGCGGCGCAGGAGCTGCCCGCCGCCAGCTGCGCCAGCGCCAGCGACGCCGCGCAGGGGGTCACCATTCACCAAACCGCTCCAATGCAACCCGAAGGCCCCAGGCCCTCCCAGATTCCTGCATGGGGGGCGTACGTGCTCCAGTGTGTGTTTTTTCCCCGGCAGTTTCGGACCGCCCCACCCCCCCTCTCGAAATGGGCCGGCCCAACGGCGCCTATTCGGGCTGGGATGGGTTTGGGTTGATTTGGCGGGTGGTCAGGGGGGGCCCGCCGCCGGCGACGCCGCCGGCAGCGGTGCCGCCGGAGTGCGGCCGCCCTGTGCCACCGCCGTCGGCGAGGCATCCCTGGCGTGCGGCTCCGAGCAGCCCGCCAGCGCCGAGCAGGCGGTGCCCGCCGGGGAGCATTTGGGCCCCGACGAGGCGGCCGAGGGCGGCTGCGAGGGAGCCACGGAGAGGACCTGGGCTGTCCAGAAAAAGTCGTGCCTCTCAGAGGAGGGCGAGTCGAGACAGCAGTGGTGGGCCTTCGGGGGGGGGGGCCCTGAGCGCCGCGGCTCTGGACGCAGCTCGGAAAGCTGGTGGCGCCTTGGGACCCCAGGAGTGGTCCTGGGACCGATTTTGAGCTGCCGTTGTCTCAGCTCGCCTTGCTTCGAGTCTCGTGCCCCCGTGCCTCCGCTGTCGCGCGTCCAGAGTCGGGCATGTCCCTTGACAGAAGGAGCATTCAAGAATAGGAAAAGATGGTCTGGTGACGATGTGTCGTGTTCTTTGGACTTTTATGTTTTGTTTTTGTGTGGCTGCTTTTCATTGTTTCTACAACATCCGTCTGTAGGAGGGCATGCCCGACCTAACACTACAGCCAAGAAAGGGATCCTGGGCGGAGGGCTGGCTCCCAGGACGGGGAGGCTGACATCACCCAGGGACGCAACCAACCCAGCCTGGAACACGTGTCAGCATCAAATGGGCATCGACAACGAATGATGATAGGGGTGGAAGGGAAATGCATGCGATCCCTTGATCCCTTGGGAAAGACATCCAGCTGCCTGCGGCAAATCCCGCCCCGCCCCCGTGCCAGCCCAGCACTTGAGTGACGACTGTTCGAAGAGCTCGCAGGTTGGCTTGGGCGAGCTATAGAGTGTGACGCGCTCTTCCGCATCGTACCGGGATGTCACTCTTCGTCTTCGTCGTCGTCTCCCCCCCCGCGGCCGCCCGCTCTGCCCTCTTCCTACTCTTGCATGCTGGCCAATTCGCTCTTCGGTGCCCCCGACTAGCTCTATCGCTGGTGCAGCCAACTCTGCCTCGCCGCCGACGGGAAAAGTGTTCGTCGTCGTCTTCCTCCCCTGCTGCTCTTCCCGCCTATCTTCGGGCCTCTTAGGGGCCCCTTGGGCCGACCTAGTGCGCTTCTTCGGAGTCCTCTCCGAGGCCTTCGGAGACATCTCCTTGGCCTCTTCGGATCGTCTTGGGCCCCTCCCGGAGCCCAGAGGGGCCGTCCTGGGGCCTCCTCGAGCCGTGTTGGGGCCGTCGTCTCGGAGGCCTTTTGGGCCATCTCGGGCGCCTTTTGGGTTGTCTGGTGGCCATCTTGGGGGTCTTGTGGGCCGTCTTGGGGCGGATGTCTCTTGGGCCATCTTGGGCTGGCGACAGCTCGAACATGCGAGAACGCGAAACTCATTCACACACATTCGAAGCTTTACCGAGTTGGACATATTCGGGCCTTCCTGGGGGTCCTCTTGGAGCGCCATATCGGGAGCTTGGGGCCACATTGGAGCCCTCCTGGGCCGTTTTGGATGCATGCTGCTCTAGTTTGGGTGCGTTGGTTGCCTTCCGCGGCCGTCTTGCAAGCCGTTTTGGGCATCTAGGACACCTTGGGGATCTCTATTGACGCGTCGGACCACCACTCAGCTGGGAGAGGGAGGGTCCTTAAACGATCTCAGGAACCTTACCAGACAGTACTTGGCAGTATGCGCCAGGGGGCACAGTGGTGGACATAGGAAGCCGCGGCTTCACAGGCACCATGAGGTCTACATTCTACATAAAGCAATACCACAGCCCCCCTCGAAGCCAAACGGAAATTTTAATGGTGGTCGACGCGCGACATGCGGCCCGCAGGGGTCAGATGTTTGGTTTCGCAGTCGCCAACTTCGGCGCGAACATGGGGATGTTGAGGTCCTTGGGCGCCGCCACGTCGCGGGAAGAACCTGCGTTTAAATTCGAAAGGGGATGCAGGGGAACAACAATATATATATATATATATATATAAGACAGGACCATGAGGGAGAGGACACGTAAAACTAGGGAGGAGGGATCTGCGTAAGACCGTGCTGCCGCACCCGTGGAAGGCGAGGCCCTGCTTGGACTTGCAAAGCGCGCTCCAGGGGCGCAGCAGCATGGTGACAATTGCACACCTGGCATCTCCCATTGAGGTCGAGGTAGAAACGTTCGATGGCTACGCCTCGCCCTCAGTGGGGGCGAAGTCTAGCCATTGCGCGCCTCATTGATATGGTACACCTGGCAGCCCCCGTGGAGCGTCCTGCATCAGGCGCCATTCTGCAGGACGTTCTCTCTGGGAGTGCATCGGGGCGGTGACCGCTGCACGCCTGGCAACACCCCTGGAGGGGCGGGGTCTCTGCAGACGACTACACTCCGCTGGCATGCGAAGTAGGAGGAGGAGGAGGAGGAGGAGGAGGAGGAGGAGGAGGAGGAGGAGGAGGAGGAGGAGGAGGAGGAGGAGGAGGAGGAGGACCCCCCCAGGGGCGCAGCGAGGCGGTGACAGCTGCACGCACTGGCAGCTCCCAGGGTGGGTGAGCGTCTCGTGCGCGCGGTGGTTCCCAGGGATGGCTCGGCGGATCGGCGGCAGCAAAGCTCAGACACCCATGCCTTTCGATGGCTCCTCGGCGTGCGTACAGTCGGGACCTAGGTTCAAGATCGAGGTCGGTTCGGGGAGGGTGCCCTAACGTTATCCGTGCTTGTTGGATATTCTCGTGCATCCTGGGGAAGGGTACCCTCGAATGTTCTGGTTTGGCCGACGGAGGGTTTCATTGGGAGATGCTCTGCTGGCCCAGGTCCGTCTGTGCTGTTGCCGAGGATGCTCGATGTTGCTGCTGCCGCCAGTGTTGCTGCCCGTGCCCTGTGCCCAGCTCCTGCTGAGGCTCGCGCTCCTTCCCTCGCCTCTCCAGCAGATGTCGCTTGCACGCCTGACCTGCGCCTCCCCCTCAGGAAGAAGAGGAGGCTCAAGAAGCGGGCAAGGGACTGCGACCCGCCGGCCCCGCCGCCCGCGGGCCCAGAGGCCAGCGGCGGCGAGGCGGGGGACGCCGGGGGCACGGAGCCGCCGCGGGAGGAGGACGAGCACGACGCCGCCGCCGCCCCGAGGAGGAAGCGGAAGAAGAGGGCACGCCCCGATCTTCCGCAGCCCGACAGCCTTCCCCAGAGCCTCGGCCCCGCCGGCCCGCCAGACGCCGCCGAGCCCGCGGCCGGAGGCGAGGAGCAGGAGGCGGCCGAGGCGCAGCCGCCGAGGCGGAAGAAGAAGGCCAAGAGGAAGCGGGAGGGCGACGGGGAAGCCGACGGCGGCGCGCAGGCGGAGGGTGCCGGCGCCGAGGAGGAGGCGGCGGCCGCCGAGGTGTCGGCGCCGCCCTGTCTGAAGGTGTGCGCCGCCAGCCTGCCCACCACCATGGACAAAGACGCCGTCTACGAGCACTTCAGGCCGTGCGGGCAGATAGATGCCCTCTTCCTGCTCCGGGACTGGTGGACACAGGCGTCCAAGGGCATATGCTTCATTACCTTTGCCGACCAGGGCGGCGTGGAGGCCGCCCTGAAGCACGATGGCACGGAGCTCGAGGGCCAGAAGCTCAGGGTCAACCTGGCGGCCGACCGGGACGGCCTCAAGGGCAAGGGCGGCGGGCGAGGCAGCGGCAAGAGCCCCGGAGACGGGCAGCAGGGCGGCAGCGGGCGGGGCTACGGCAAGAGCCAAGGCAAGGGCCGCGGCGGTGGCGCTCCTGCCACCCTGGCGCTGGGCAGCCAGCCCCCAGAGGGCTGCAGAGGCCTCCTGGTGCGGGGGCTCGCCTGGTGGGTCACGGAGGAGAGCCTGCGGAGCTTCTTCGGCAAGTGTGGGGAGGGCCCCACCCGCGTGCGGGTCCTCAAAGAGAAGAGCACCGGCGAGTCCAAAGGCAAGGCCTTCGTGGATTTTGCAGATGCGGCGGCGGTGGAGGAGGCGATGAAGCTGAACTGCACGCCACTCGACGGCTGGAAGCTGCGGCTCGAGTTCGCAATGTCGCGGAGCGTCTGAGTCGGTGAGGGCGCTCGCAGTCTTCTTGCTCCTCCTGGTGCTCCAGAGTGCGAAGTGCAGGCGCGGCTGCGAGAGTCTCCGTTCGGGAGGCATCAGGGACGCATACAGAGCAGCCTTTTGGGTGCACTTCCTAGGTGATCGTCTCTCTCTCTCTCTCTCTTTCCGCCCGCAAAAAGACAGGGTCACTGCGATCAGCGTTAAATTTACTCCTCGCCGATTTTACACTGAACTTTTCGCCTTTGCTTGAGTCGTTGTCCTGCCTGTTTCGCGGCCTTTCCTGGTGGGAGCGCGCGACATCATCCCCCCTTTCGTTGGCCCCCTTTCTTTACAACTTCCCGCCTGCATCTTTTTCCTTCGCCTCCCCCCTCTCACATCCCTTTCCTGACGGGCCTGTTTTCCGCCACCACCTTCCTAAGTTGGAGTGGGGAAGGAGGTGGAGGACGAGGAGGAGGAGGAGGAGGAGGAGGAGGAGGAGGAGGAGGACTCCCTCCCCCTCCAACTTACGGTGGTGGTGGTGGTGGTGGAGTACAGGCCCGTCATCCTCTTGCCCTCCCCCTCCCCTCCAAGTTGCGTAAGTTCGAACCTCCCGTGTCGGGTTCTCGGTCCGAGCAGCGCAGAGCGGTCTCTCCCCGCTCACCCCGACGCTCCCCCCCCTCCTCTCCCGTCTTGCTTTCTGCCCGTCTGCCTGCCTGCCTGTTGGCCTGCCTCCTGCCTGCCGTGCCTCGCATGCCTAGAGGCTGACACCAACATCAACTTCGGCGGTGTGCCTCCACCGAGGGAAAAAGATCCCGATCTCGGTGACGGTGGTCGTATTCTGGCTTCCAGGGTGGCCGAAAGATTCCCACCAACACCGAAATCTATGTGGAGGGAACCCCCTTGTGTTGGTGTTGGTGCCCATTTCCAGGCCTCCAATACCTGGTAGCCTGCGAGCTGTGAGACTGACACCGCTTTCGAGGGCTGCTGCATGGGGTGCAGCGGAGCAGGCGTCGGAACTGGACATTGCCTCCTCTGTGGGGCTGGGAACTGCGAAACCGTCGCCACTCGAGGGCTGCCGAGGAGTCCGACGGAGCGACGTCTGAAAGGCTTCGGAGTTAGGCATTGCCTCCCCGTGGGGCTGCGAACTTGAAACTTGCGCCACTATCGAGGGGCACTAGGGGGTCCAGCGAGCTGACGCCTTCAAGGCGTCGCAACTAGATCTCGCTTCCCTGGGGGCCTGCGGACTGTGTAACAGTCGCCACTCTCGGTGGCTGCTGGGGGTAGCGGAGTGACGCCTTAAAGGCATCACAAGTAGACATCGCCTCCTTGGGGGCCTGCGGACTGTAATTCTGTCGCCGCTCTCGAATGTTGTTGAGGGGTCCAGCGGAGTGACGCATAAATCTTGGTGCTTCCCAGGACGTCACGGAGTCATCTTGTATCATATTGGGATGCCTTACACACTAGTTGACGCAGTTGTCCGTTGGACCCGCACACGGTTCCATCCATCGCTTCCGAAAAATATCAAAGTTGTGAGTCGTGCAATGCGCGCGCATCCCATGTAGTTTGCGAATCACCTTACGATTTCTGCATCGTCGTTATCTGTTCGAAGTTTCACATCAGCTTGAGCCACCTGCTCCTGGTCATTTGATGCAAGTGGGCTGGGTAGGTCGCAGGTGAACGTCTTTTCCGACCTCTGCGTTTGCCTTTGTTTCTGTTCCTTCCCATTTAATACCCCGGGGAGGAGGAGGAATGTGTCAGGATGATCAGACCGATGAGCGGGAGTAGGAATGGGAGGGGGAGGAGAGGGATGAGGAGGATGAGGATGATGATGATGATGATGAGGAGGAGGTGGTGTTAGAGGTATGGCCATTCAGTGACTGGGGATGTCCATAGTTGTCTGGCTCAAGTGCTTAAATGTGTGTGTGTGTGTGTCCGTGTATTGCTTGAACACTTCATTGTTCGAAAATGTGTCATCATTGTTGCCGAGCCAAACCCTTCTCGGGACTTTGCATAGTAGTGGGGCGGTGTTATAATGGCGCGCATGGTCCCTGAATGCACAGTTCTGGTGCTTGATAACCTTGGTTCTCGTTAGACCTCAGTGCGAACGACGAGAGGTGCAGGACGGTGTTTCAGAACGGCGACTCCAGGTCCGTAAAACAAGCGATTGACGCCAAAGAACTTGTCAATTCTTGACGCTTAGCGTATCCCCATTAGTGGGCCTTCGTGTTCTTTGGGGAAGGTCCTGGAGTGGCAGCAGCCCGTCCGTCTTCCGTTGCTTCCTCGCGGTGCTCTTCATCTACGCGAATGTGGTTGCACGTTCCACGCGGTACCTGGAGGCCGCTTACCTCCTCGGCACCGCTCGCCTCGCTCTCCTGTCCGTGTCGGAGGCGCTCCCGCCGCTGGTGGCGCTCTTCCTCGATGTGTTCTTCTGGGTCAAGGACCGCGCGTTCTGCAAGGTTACCTGGGGAAGTTGGATGGGCTCCTTTCTACCTCCGTCGCCGCCTTCCTGGGGGTCAGTGTGGCGCCTGGGCTTCCATGCGTCCTCTCCGTGGGGTCCTCCTTCTGCTTCGGCTTCCTGCCCGGCGCCTACTTCCACGTGTTCCTGGTGCCGCTTAGTGACGCCTTCCGCGCCATTCTGGCCGCGCTGAGCTCCGTCCCCTCTGTGCCTGGCGTTGCTAGCCTCTTTGTTTTCTCTTGAGCTGGAGGCGCAGCCTGCCCCTGCTTGCCCGGCGTTCCACCCGCTTCGCGCGCCCGCGTGCCAAAACGTATTCCCGTTAGCCAATCCACCAACGATTATCATGGTAGTTCTTTTGAGGAATGGCGTATGTTATGTGCGCGCGTAGCAAAGTAGGGATGCGAACGCGTTGGAGGCTTCTTCGGGCCATTCTGGGCGCCTTTGGGGTTCCGTTTTGCCCCCTTTTGGACCTTCATGGGTCCCTCCAGGGGTCCTCTTGGGGGCCCCGGAGGGCCTCTTTGGGCCATCCTGAGGCCGTCGATCAAAGGGGTGGCTGGCGCCAATTAGGCGCCCTACCTCGGATGCCCGAACTGGCCTCTTCCGACGTTCCCAGGGCGGTCTCGGTGAGCGCAGGTCGCATTCAAGGACCCATGAACGAGCCTATGGCGATCCAGTCGATGAAACGCTTCCTGGTGACAGGGCCAAATCAATTCCGAAGAACGGGAAAGCGGTGGCGCGTTTCGGAGCAAGGAAGCAACGGTAACCAGCAAACGATCAAGAACCCACGCTAAGTCAGCGACCGCAGACGACAGTTTATAGGAACATCTTCAGGCTGCCGAGCGGCGGATTGTTCCATTCAGAGTACGTCATAGCGTCGGATTCCAACGCGCGTCGCGGATCACTGATGTTGGCCTTCCGGGTGGCCTCAGGTGTCGCCTCGAGGTCTTTTTTCAGGGCGCCCTTGGGCCGTCTCGAGGCCTCTAGGACCGTTCAGGGGCCCCCATCGGGACTGTATTGGCCCGTCTTGGGGCTGTCTGGCTTCAGGAACAGGCATGCGACAACCCCCCGAAGCCACCCAAGACACCAGGAGAGTTGGAGTTTTGAGCCCCTGAAGAGCATTGTGCCACCCCATGGATAAAAACAGGTGGTTGATTTTGAAGAAGGTAGTTCGTTGTGGACGTCGCGCGCGGACTCGTCATATCCTGGTGGTCAGACTGTGGTCAGACGTGGGTTTCTGAGGGATCCCCAAACAAATTGCGCATTTTCTGGCTGCGCGCACTGGGACCAAAAACTTGGACGTCAGGGATATTCGGGTGAAATCAACATTGCCTGGCGTCATGTCAAGGCAATCCGGATTTTGTTTATGGGGTCCCGAGCGACATTGTCAGGTCCCGGTCACATGGCAAAAGCCTCGTTCGCCTTGGAGGTCGACGCGAAATCATCCAAAGGGAAGCCGTGGGCATAACGCAACTTTGCGTTCTGGGCCCTACTTGGCTTTTACAAGATTTTGAGGGGCGGGCTTTACATCCAACCTTGCACCGCGCCCCGTGGCTTCATGGGAGGCCATATCGTCCCTGATCTTTACGGTCAACCCTTTTTATTTTAAAGGAGGTTTTCCATCGCCCGTACTTCAAATCATTTTCATACGCATGTTGTTTGTAATGTCCACCGCCAGCCTGCCAAAGCATGCCATTTCCATTCGCATTCTCTCGTGCTCTCCACCGCCATCCCGCGACAGCCCGACAGAGCACGTCATTCCCGTGATCACCTTTTTTTCGCATCCCCTTCCTGGATTCAGACGCGGTGATCGGTACCTTGCCAGCGAGCCATCCTGTGGATCTTCTCTCGTCGACCGCGGACCAACGACACGTCGTTTTGGACGTCGCACGAAACACCTCGTTTGGTCGTTTTGGATGTCGTTCTGGACGTTTTGGACGTCTCACATGTCGTTTTGTACGTTTTGGCCGTTTCGGATGTCGTGTTGGACGTCGCACATATGCGTCTATTTCGTGGTGGTTTGACATGGGGCCAGACGCTTTGTTTGAAGGGGTCTCGTGCGGCCGCCCCGCCCGTTTCGGCACAGCCCTCACACGTTTCGTGGACCCTCCGGGAGGTCCACCGGAGGCCGTAGTGGCCAGGGCTGCGCGAATTGGGACCAGACGCTTGGACGTCACAGAGTTTCGGTCGAAATAACGGTTCGTTATCATTGAGAGCGTCCGGAGTTTTGTTCAGGAGGTCCCGGGCGGCACCGTCTCTACCGGTCGAGCAGCGTTCTCTATCGCCGTGGTGTGAGTGGATTTTCTTCATGGGGAGTTCGTGGGCGGAATCACCGCCGCCACCTGCTTGTCAAGAGATGCGCCTGTGTGGCCAACCGTGTGTGCAATGTCTGGCCGCGCTATATCGGACCGTGCGTTCCCCCTAGCCGTTGCGGGAGCCCTTTGGGGAAAACGCGTGGAGCAGGAAGCGGAGGATGAGGAGAGGGAGGAAAAAGGAGCATGAGGAGAAAGATGAGGAGATTTTTTTGTTAGCTTTTTGGGTAAGTCTTGGGGCCTCCCGGGAACTTCTTGGGGGCCGCTTAGAGGCCTCTCGGGGGCCTCCTTGGGCCTGTTGGGGGCCTCTCGGGGGCCTTTTGGGGCTTCTTGGGGCCCCCTTTGGCCGTCTTGTGGCGTTCCTGGCCCGTTTGACGTCGTCGGAAACCGTCTCGGGAGCCTCTCTGGGCCGTCCTGGGGCTCTCTTGGGGCGCTTCAGCGTCGGGCCGTCTTGGGTCCCTGAAAGGGGCGTCTTGGGAGCCTTTGGGGCCGTTCTGGGGCCACCTTGGAGGCCTTCTGGGCGATCTTGAGGCAATCTTGGTGGCCTCTTGGGCCATCTTAGGCCGTCGAAAGCCCACGTGAAGCAAATACCAAAGTCCTAACCTGCAAAATCATTGACTTTGGCATCTTCGGGTTTCCCTGGAGGACCTCTTGGAGAACGCTTGGGCCGTCTTTGGGACCTCTTGGGCGTCTTTTGGGCCGTGTTGGGCGCTCTTGGACCATCTTGGCGGTCTTGGAGGCATTTTGGGATCGTCTTGGAGGCCATCTTGGGGCTATCTTGGACTCTCGTGGGGCAATGCTGGCCGTCTTGGAGGCATCTTTGAGGCGATCTTGGACCATCTTCGCCGTCTTGGAGGCCATCCAGGAGCCGAAAACCGACAACCCAGAGGTTTTCTGGATGGCCAGCGCAATTGACCGAAGGCACCGAGCGCCGTCTGAACTTTAGCACGCCAAGCACCCCTGCTGGCACAGGGGGCGGGGGATGACGGAACGCGCGCGTGGCGTCGCGATCCTTCAGTCGGAAGGCATAACAAGGGAGAGTGTGAGGGGGTTGGCCTCACCAGGCCCAGATCCACTGGCCCAAGAACGCACAAGAGGCCCCCAAGACGGCCCAGGACGGTCCCAGGGAGACCCAGGAGGACCCCCCAACACGGCCTAAGAGCGGTCAGAGAAGGCCCAAGATGGCCTCAAGGTGGCCAGAGAGGCCCTCAGGCCGCTCCACAAGGCTCCCCAAAGGACACCCAAATAATAAACATCATCCCACAACGTGCGTTTTGAACACATTCGCTTCTTTGGTCTGAACAGCGTCCAAGGCGGCGCAAGAGGCCCCCTGAAACCGCCACGAGACGGCCCACGAGGCCCCCCCCAGAGGGCCCGAAGACGGCCCAAGTGGGCTCCAAGATTGCCCAATAGTCCCGAGAGACCCAAGATATTGGGTCTCTTGGGAGAGGCCCCTGAGGGGCCCCTCTTGCAAGAGAGTCCCCTGAGGGCCCCAAAAGGTTCCCAAGAGAGCCTCACGAGGGCCACAGGAGGTCTCCAAGAGGGCCCCAAGACGGCCCAAGCCCACCAAGACGGCCCATGAGGGCCCCAGGACGGCCCAAGAGGACCTCAAGACGGCCAAAAAGAGCGACAAAAGGACCCCCAGGAAGGCATGGAGATGCAATGCCAATTAATTTCGCACGGCTTTTTGACAGATGTTCGTATGTCGTACCAAAGCCTTGACACCAGCAAAGCTCCAATACAACAAGCAATCGACCTCGCGCCTTCACAAAATACACGCGCTTTACGACCTTTCCAGGCAGGTCTGACGGCCTTCGGCCAATCCCGCCACCGTGCATTGGTTGTGGGCCATAGGCGGCTGCTAGGATTTTCGTTGGGATGTGCGGGCGGCCTCTCGGTGGCCTCTTGGGGACCGTTTTGAAGCCTCTTGGGAGCCGTCTTGGGGCCTCTTGCGGCGTCTTCGTGGCCGCTTGGGGGTCTCTTGGGGCCTCTTGGGGGCCTCCCAGATTATGTTGACAAATGTAATCCGACCAGTATTTCTTTCATTCTTCGCCAATCAGGGCTTGCCTCTGTAGGGCTCCTAGCAGATTGCTATGGTTAGGTGAGGTTTGGCGCCGATTTCGGCGGCACGCCCAGGTGCACGGGTGCCTGGGTGCCCCGGTGCCCGGGTGCCCAGGTGCCCGGGTGCCTGGTAGCCCTATAACCCTATAGCCTTTTAGTCTTGTGTCCATATAGCCCTATAGCCATAATAGCCCTATAACCCCAGAACCCTATAGCTCGATAGCCCTAATAGCCGTATAGCCCGAAGTCCTTTACAGCCCTATAGCCCTATAGCCAGCTTTAATACCCTTATAGCCCTAGAGCGTTATAGCCCTATAGCCCTATGGCCCTCTAGCCCTAAAGCCCTATAGCTCTATAGCTCTATAGCCCCATAACCCTATAACACTATAGCCCTATAGCCCAATCGCCCTATAGTCCTGTAGCCCTACAGGCCTTATAGACCTATAGCCATATAGTCTTATAGCCTCATAGCCTTATAGCCCGATAGCCCTATAGCCCTATAGCCCTATAGCCTATAGCTCTATAGCCCTATAGCTGTATAGCCCTATAGCCCTAGAGCCCTATAGCCCTATAGACCTATAGCCCTATGGTCCTAAAGCCCTATAGCCCCATGGCCCTATAGCCCTAAAAAGCTTCAGATAGATTATTTTCTCCGGAATCATGTTTCAAGGCTTCTTTTTTACAGTTGACCCCAAGGTTCTTGGGGCCTCCTGGGGGCCTCCTTGGGCTGAATGCGTGGATTTTCGGTTCGGTGCTCCCACTCTTGTGCCCCTCTTGGGGCTTTTTTTATGCCCTCTTGGAGTGCTTTGGCGCCTCTGGGGCCGTCTTAGAGCCTTCTTGGGCCGTGTTGGGGCCCTCCTGGGGGCCTGGTGCAAGTGAGGCCGCGACGGTGCGGAGACCCTGACCACGGAGCCGCCAGACCGGCACCCAGGCCCAGACGACGGGCGGCGACGAGGCGGCGACGGTGTGGCGATGGCGACCACGGAGCCGCCAGACCACCGGCGGCGACGAGGCCGCGACGGGACGGAGACCCCGACCACGGAGCCGCCAGAACGGCACCCAGGCCCAAATGACAGGCGGCGACGAGGCGGCGACGGGGTGGCGACGGCGACCACGGAACGGCCAGAGCGGCTCCCAGTTTCAGTCCCCTTAGACAACGAAGTGATAGGCCACGAAGTAACAGCCCCTAAGTGGAAGCATTACTTGAGAAACGATTGCCATCCCCTGCGCGCGCTCGCCGTCCCGACGCCGCGCGCGAGATCCTCAGCAGGGTCTCGAAAGCCAGCGGCGGCGGCCCCCCCCCGCGCTGTGCGCCGCCGAGGGCGTTTGGTTTGCCGGGGGGGGGGCGTGGGGGCGCGGCGAGGCGTGCCTCTTGAGGAGGGCGCCTGCCACACACCGAATTGACATCGATCCTGGCAAGTGGTCACCCCTGGGCTCGGGATCGGCGTGGGTGCCTTCTTGCCTCGTGGGCCCAGCACCGATCCTGGCAAGTCCTGGCAAGGTCGCTCCTGGGCCCGGGCATCGGCGCAGGTGTGCCCTCTTGCCTCCCCGACCACGAGGCCAGGGAGCACGCGTGGTGCCCCGAGTCCTGGACCCAGGGTGGGCGGCTTGACCACGGGTTGGCGCAGGTGTATGGTGCGGCGGAACCTCCTACCTTACAGTCGGGCGCGCCTCTCTCTGCAGGAGGATCTGCAGGAAGAACATGCCAAAGTAGTATACAAATAGCCTGGGGACTATTTTTGATTATCGTGGACGCCCTATATACATACATATATGTACACAAATTATGTTTTCATTTTGCTTTCAAAATCCACCTGTAGGAGGACATGCCCGGCCAAGTCCCACCTGTCGCCCGCTCGTCGGCGGCGGGCCAGATGGGGCACGACTGCTCGCCCCTGCTGGGGCCGCGCGGGGACCCCCCCGAGCCGCCCGCGGTCGCGGCGGACGAGCTCTTCGCCCGGCAGGATGGCTTCCGCAGGTGCTCCGCAGAAGGCGCCTACTCACCACCACCGTGAATGGCCATGATGGGCTTGTTTTCCACCTCCACCACCATGAGTTGGAGGGGGAAAGCAGGTGGAGGAGAAGGAGGAGGAGGAGGAAGAAGAGGAGGAGGGGGAGGAGGTCCCCCTCCCCACCCAACTTATGGTGGTGGTGGTGATGGTGGTGGGGAACAGGCCCATCATGGCCAGGGCCGTTGGCCGTCCTTGGCCACGGGGATGCTATACTGGGCCCTCCTGGCCCCGATCGGGCGTGCGCACACACGCCACGCCAGGGCCCAGGCTGGCCCTCCTCCTCCTCCTCCTCCTCCTCCTCCTCCTCCTCCTCCTCACGGTGGTGGTATACAGGCGCCTTCCGCTGCGATTCCTCCGCGGATCAGCTCAGCAACCCCATGCTGACGATGGACCCCATGGAGCCCCGGCAGGCGCAGAAGCGGCCCAGCTTCGTCGGCCCGCCGGGGGGCGGCGGGCCCGCCGGCGCAGGCGGGCCCCTGTGCGCGGCCCTGGCCTCCTCCGGCGTGCACGCATGGTGCCCCCCTTGGCGCGGGCGGACGGCTGGCCGGCCGTGGGTCGTCGTCGGCGTCGTCGTCGTCGTCGTCGCCGTCGCCGTCGCCGTCGCCGTCGCCGTCGCCGTCGCCGTCACCGTCACCGTCACCGTCACCGTCACCGTCACCGTCGTCGCTGAGGCGGCCGTCGCCGCTGCTGCCGTCGTCGACGCCGGCCGGCACTTTCACCGCCACCGTCGTCACTTTCGCCGCCGCCGTTGTCGCAGTCGCTTCGAGGGCCGCGGTTCGAGCGTAGAGTTGGTTGTTGCGTTTTCGGGTCTTGTTGGGTCCTCGGGGGGGCTCCTCGTCGCTGGGGTTGGATCCTCCAGGTTCGCATTTCTGTTCTAAGGAATTCAGTCGCCGCCCCGTCGCTGCCTCGTCGCCGCCCGTATCTGGGCCTGTCCGTCTGTCTTTCGGGCTATGCCGCCCCGTCGCCGTCTCGTCCTGTCCGTACCTGGGCCTGTCTGTGGGTCTGGCGGTTATGTTGTCGCCGTCGCCGCCCCGTCGCCGCCTCGTCGCCGCCCGTAATTGGGCCTGTCTGTCAGTCTGGCGGCTAATTATGTTGCGGCCGTTGTCGTTCCGATATAGATTGCACATCACAGATTGCACTAAATTTGTTCTCCTTTCTCAAAAGAGAATAACTCCCCCCCGGGACTATCGATCCCCATTTTTGTAATGCAGTTTACATTTGATTCTGCCCCATCGTCCATCCGAAAGATGAATTCAGACCGTCCCAGCCAAACCAGTATCCGCCCCCCCCCGTCATCCTTTGCCAACAAGGCTATGCGCACACGCGTTTATCACAACTCATAAACTTTCAAACGTCCCTTGTTAACAACTTGACGAAATGCACACGCGCGTCGTCGCGCGCGCATGCTCGGTATCGTACGGATTTTTATTTCGAACGTCAAATCATCATATAACACATGGTTCCGCAGCGCGGATTTTCAACAACAAAGACATTTTTCAGCATTATCAGAACATGCTACCCAGCGGGCTTAGCGCGCGCATGCCGAAATCGTTCGAACGCACTCGCGCGCGTGCCGTCGCGAGAATCTTCGACCACAAATGAGACGAAGTGCGTACGCGCGCGTCGTCGCGCGCAGGTGCCGAATTCCGTGAAACATCAGCGGGTCCGTAACGGTTTCAAAATCGAATGTACCGAACACATGCAAACACAAACGGTTTCGCATCATCAGTTTTCAAAACAACGTGCGCTCGAACTCTTGAGCATCCATAATAAAACCATACGTTTTTCAACATTTTCATGGAATTCTGCCAGACGGGCCTATCGCGCCGCATGTCGAACTCATTCGAACGCCCTTGCGCGCGTGCTGGGATGCACGATCCGTGTCACATAAAACGATGCGGGCCACTCTCGCGCGTCGGCCGCGCACGCATGTCGAGCTTTTTCCAAAACCTTCATCACCGACGCGAGGACGCCGTCATCGTCGTCGGCGTGATTAGCATCGGCGCCCGCACTGGCCGCGCCTTCGTCGGTGCCAACGCCGTCTCCAGCCGAGCTACTATCATCATCGTCCCTACCGTTGTCGACGTTGCCATGATACCGCGCCAGCCCAAGTTTTTGACTCGCAGTGAAGTGCCCGCTGGGATGTGTCCACCGGTCAGCGCCATCGCGGCCGCGTCGGTGGCGCCAAACTAGCTGGCCGCTGCGCGCGCGTGCTACTGTTGGCGCGGCGCGGCCGCAGAGATGCACCAGCCAACGCCAAGCATGCATCGCAATCGCCACCGCATACGTTTTGCAATCCAACTTCGGGGTGGGTGGTTGGGATGTTTGCAAGGGCGTAGTGTGTCAACTCGTTTGCGAAATTACGTTCTATGACGTAGATTCTCCTTCTAAAGGAGAATGTGATATTGTACTCCCCTCCGGGTGCCGGAGTTTACGATCCCCTTTTCGCGATATGCAATATGCATCTGATTCTGGCCCTTTGTCCATTTTACATATGCACTCATACTATCCCAGAACAGCCGTATCGACCCCTCCCCGCCATCCTTTGCAAACGCAGTACGCGCGCAGCCGATGATCAAAATTCGCAAGTGTCCAAGAAACCCCTGCAACAAAAACAAAAAGAAGTGCGCACGCGCGCGTCGTCGCGCGCACATGCTGAAATTTCAAATCAACCCAGGGTTTCGCAAGGATTTCAACATTGAGAGGTGCGAGCGCATATACAATCATGGTTATGCTGGAAAGGTTTTAAATGAAAGCCTGCGCCCGCTTTCTTGCGAATTCTTGAACAAAACCATTTTTTTTTTTTTTTTTTTTTTTTTTTTAAAAAATAGTTGCATGGCGTGCCACCAAACGGGCCTGTCGCGCGCATGCCGACATCGCTCGAACGCCATTGCGCGCGTGCTGTCGCAAGTATCCCTTTCAAGCGCGGGACGACGTGCATACGCGCGCGTCGTCGAGCGCGCATGCCGAAATTGTTCAAACTCTTAGGCTCCGCAAGGAGTTTAACAACGAATGTCCCGAACACATATGAACACACACACACATGTTTTGCCATATCCGTTTTCAAACAAAAAATCAAGCGCTCGCGGTCTCGCTGGTTTTAATACAGCCATACATTCTCCAACATTTGCATCCCATTATGCCAGACGGGCCTCTCACGCTGCATGTCGAGCTCATTCGAACGCCCTTGCGCGCGTGGTGGGACGAACGGTCCGTGTCAAATAATTCCACGCGCGCAAATCGAATTCCTTCACAAACCTTCATCGCCGACGCGAGGACATCGTCATCGCTATCGGCGGGCGTGATCAATATCGGCGCCATCATTGGCCTTGCCGCTGTCATGGCCGTCATCGAATACCGTCGATACTTTCATAATTGCGCATGCCGATGTGGGCGTCGCCATGATACCGCGCCCGCTCAAATCACCGACTCGCAGTGAAGTGCCCGCTGGGAAGTGCCGAGTGGTCAGCGCCACCGCGGCCCCGCCGGTCTCGCCAATCGCCAAATTAATTGGCCGTTGCGCGCGCGACCATGCGCGGGCTAGCGCGGCCGCAGAGACGCACCGGCCACCGCCAAGCACCCATCGCAATCGCCGCCGCATGGGTTTTGCAAAATGAGTTGCGGGTGGGTGGGTGAGGTGTTTGCAGGGGCGTGGACATTGTCAGTGCTTTTGTAAGCATCAATTGCACCACGTATATTGCACAACACATATTGCGCCCCACGTATTGCACCACATGTATCGCACATCATACATTGCACATCGTATATCGCACACCATATGTTGCAACACATACATTGCACCACACATGCACACATTCATATACACCTACACATTTTTTCATACACTTATGTGTATATATGTATGTATTGCCCACCATGTGTTGCACCAGGCGAAGTACACATATTGGACTGCGTGTGTTGTACACAATATACAGCACTGCATATGCAACACCACGAATACAGCACCACATCAATTGCACTGCATTTATTGCACCACAACGACGCCACCATATTTTGCATCACTTATATGTCATAGTATATATTGCGTAACGTACACCACCCATTACACCGCATATATTGTACAACCTAGGCCAACTTTGATTTATTGATATTGCTTTGTCACCCTTGGGTCATCGACGTCTCAGGGATCGTATCATGCAATTGGATTGTGCCAGTCCGCCGACCCCGCCGACCCCGTAGAAGGAGCGAGTACGTCCCCTCTCCCTCCTCCTCCCCCTCCCCCTCCTCCTCCTCCTCCTCCTCCTCCTCCTCCTCCTCCTCCTCCTCCCCGTCGCAAAGAAGAGGCTGGAGGGAGAGGCGGAGAAGAAGGGAGGAGGAGGAGGACGAGGATGAGGAGGAGGACGAGGACGAGGACGAGGACGAGGACGAGGGAGAGGGGAGCTTTGATTTTGGAAGTTATCGTGCGGGTCAGGAGCAGCGTGGATGCGTGTGAGGGGCTCGTGGGATGTCTCTCGTTGGCCCCTTGGAGGGCTCTCTCTTGGGCACCTGGGGGGCCTTTGGGGCCTCCTGGGAGCTTGTCGGGGACTCTTTGGAGGCCTCTTGGGGCCTCTTGTTGGCGCCGCGGGGGCCTTTGGGGGGCTCTTGGGGCCATCTTGGGGAGAAAAGCTCGAAATAATGTGAGTTCGTATCCCCTCGTTTGGTCTCTTTTGTGGCCCTCCTGGGGCTCTCTTGGGCCGTGTCGAGGGCCCAGCGGTCGTCTTGGGAAACTCTTGGGTTGTCTTGGGGCCTTTTTGGACGCCTCATGGCCCCCCTTGGGGCGATCTTGGGGCCCCTTGGGCCGTCTTGGACGCTGTCAAGGCGAAAATGGTGAGCGTGCTAAGAGTGTGCGTTTTCTTTTGGGAATACAGCGATCTTTGCCTCTTGGGGCCCCCTCGGCGGTTCTGCGGGAGCATCATTGGGGCGTGTTTGGTGCAATCTCGATGCTATCGTGGATTATATTGGCGCTCTATTTCGGCGCGTTTGGGATGTCTTGGGGCTCTTTAGAGGCTTCAGAGGGCCCTTGGGGAAGGCGTTGGCAAGCTCGTGGGGGGCGCCGCCCCCCCAACATGGCATTTGGAGAGCAGGGGGAAAGGGTGAGGGCGGCAGCGAAATGACCGACGCGCGCATTTTTACCCCCGACAAGCGTCCGCGGATTTCACTTTCAATTTGCACATTCGATCGCTTCACGCCATCAATAAGTTCATATAGTGCCAGCCCAGACGGTGTCGGCCCCCCTCGCCGTCCCAGTCAGATGAGTTTCGAATATCCTTGTGCATCGCATGGGGCAACGTCGACACGCGCGCGCGTCGTCGCGCGTGCATGCCACAATTTTTTGCGCACGGATATCAAGAGCGAGAAACCCGCACCCATATAACATAAAACGGTGTTGCACTAATGTTATTCAAATCAACTCTGCGGTCGTGCCCCTGCGAATTCTCAGGAAAACTATGGTTTATCTGACCGCGCAAGAAACCACCGCAACCAGAAGTTATGGATGTTTCTTTAAAATGATTA